GGATAAGCGCCTAGTAGCAGTCAGGGTTCAGGACTGCACAGGAGAAAGTAACACAGCAGTGCTCTGAAAATATGTTTAAATACAGTTGAATTCAACTGGCATACAAGAACAAAGTTCTCCCTGGCTGAAGATGTCAGTCCAAACTCTCCAGTGGAAAGGAAATAATTATTTGTTCGAGTTGTTTTGAAATACTGAAGTCAAGTAATTGAGAGCCTGAGTATTCTTGCATCACCATTAAATTTAGTTCAAACCTTTGTAACATGTGACATCTTTAAAGAAGAAATAGGACTGGCATAACTAACAAAACATGATCTTGCTAGGACCAAGAGGGCTTCCTTCATGCTCTGAGTGTGTACGGGTCTGTGTGTGTACACGCAGGTATGCACTTTCTCCCTGCGAGGATTTAAAGCTCTCTCGTTGCCATTTTACCAGTAGATGAGGCTGTTTCTCAGTTGAAATAGCAACAAATGATGATGTTATGCTATTTAACAAACAAATCATAGTAAAACCATGTAAATCCCAAGAACAGGGCCAAACGCCGTGGTGTTTCTGCGACACTTAACTGGGATTTGCTCCACGGCTAAATACAAGGCTTCTAAGCCAGTTAAGTGGCTGCTGGGGCTGCTCTGTGCGGATGACATCACCGCTTGGCTCTCTGAACACACCTCTTTGGCTCTAGCTCTTTGGCTTCCTTCCATGTAAACAAGGCCTGATTAATGCTGCAGAAGGGCCGTGAATCACTTACTCCGCTCTCACGTGGGAAGTCCGAATGTCACTTTTTCCTCATCTCCTGTGCAGAGCATCGGGACAGTTCAGGTGGCATCCCTAGCAACCGCGTAGAAACTGCCTCAGTTCCCGGTTGCCAGCTTCACGCCACACTCTCTCCAAGAGCATCGGAGGGATCGCCCACTGGAGGCCCTGTACTTCCATGTGAAGCTGCATTCATGGGCCTGGGCTTTGTGGTCAGATCACATGTAATTACAAGGCCGCCCTTTGATGCAGAAATGAGAAGGATAAAGAGAAGTCCTTGCTGTGTCTCCGAGAATAAATGGGATTTCCCCCATTCAGTCACAGCTGTGCAGGCTTGATCAGAGCCATGGTGAAGGGACATTGTACTGCTGGGGTACCCCTTGCTACCACTTCCACCAGCTGGCAACCCCATTGAACATATCTGATTGCTAAAGAAAGGGAATCCAGGGAAAGCTGAAAGCAGAATCTCTCCCAGCAGGAAGAAGAATGCCGTAGATGGCAATCTTTACAACCCTTCCACAAAAATAGTTTAACTGTTGTAAATAGTCAAGAAATGACTTGGAAGAATTTGATTTGGAAGAGTTAGTGCTGGTGGCTATCTAAGCGTCCCAGGGCCATGTTGGACTTAATTGCAACAGGTGAAATGCTATCCTCCACCACTCTTAAATGGTTAACTAGAGGGTGTGGGTCAGTTATGAGGACTCGGTTGTTGAGTAATAATTGCTCCTTATACATGGCTTGCTTCTCTTTGATGACTAACAGTGTGGCTTCTGAAAGTAGAACAAGGCCAGTGTTTATGTTTTTATATATATATATATATATATATATATATATATATATATATATCCAGGCAAAGTGATAGTTGTTTACTGGTTTTAGTTTCCTCTTAGGTTTGAAAAAGTAGGAAAGTATAAAGCATTCAGAAGAGACTGTCTTCTCTATTCCTCCAGAATTACATCCAAAACTGTCTGAACTCTGCAAGTATGTATCACACATTTCATGAAATTTTTCCAGAAAACCATGTTGTTTTCCATTTTGATAAGCCGGGAAAGGAAGTGGGGCTTTTACCTCAACTGTAAGGTCAATTAAACTAAAATTACTCAAGTCAGTCCAAGGGAGGAAGTGAATTTCCACAGTCAACTTCAGGGTTGATGTCTCTCTAATGAGGTCTACAAAAAGTCAGACTTTAGCATACAGTGCCAAAAGGTAACAAGCAAATGTCCACAAGCTAGCAAATCATTTCAATCCATTCATCTTAAGTCTTTTAAAAACGCCTCAAGATGTTACAGTTCTCATCCAAAGTACACACACACACACACACACACACGCACACTTACACACACTCACACACAGCACAAAGTGTCTAGGAATAAATCATTCAGAGGAAAGATTTAATTGATCCGGTCTGAACATCAACTCAGAGTTCCCAGGCTTTTAATAATTCATAAAAACAGACTTGGAAAACTAAGTCACTAGTCTGGTGAGCTGTAATTTGCTTAGTAATGAATATGTACAGTAACACATACAATGAGAAATGACTATGACCACCACACACCCATGAAAGAGCTAAAGTGGCAGTGTGGAGCCCATGAGACCTGAGCGGAGGCCACAGTCCTACCCTGCAGAGGGCTTGTGCTTCCTTGATGTTTCAGGGAGAGCTCCTGGCCCCAGGCCCTGCCTTGCAGGTAGAGTCTGCAAGATTCCCTGGTGTTGCACAAGACCGCAGGAGCAGTGATACCGCGTTGCATAAGATCTACTTTCATTGCCTCAGCGCAACACAATTAAGGCGATTCCATGGGTGCAACTGACCTCGAAGGTAGAGACTGACCTCAGAGTGGAATGTTGTTTGTAAGATTTAATATTGGCGTGCAAAGTTTCTGCGGCTCAGAAGCTTGAGGAGAATCACTCAGGATCTCGGGCTTTTTCTCTATTGTCAATCTTTAAGGAATCACTAATATAATAAAGAAAAATGTGAAACTAGAAATAAGTGACACAGATTTCATTAGAACATACAAATTTTCATGTCCCTGAGCAGTTGACAGTTAGATAAACATGCCAGCTGCGTGCTATTATAGATTCCATTGCCAGCAATAAGAATGTTTTTTATCTCAATATTTAGCATTCTATCCTTAATCCAAACTTCCATAATGGACTCATGGGCCAGAGAATAAGTTTTATTTCCTCTAACAGATGCTTTCTTTGGAAAATAAAATTAAAGGAAATAAGAATATATTCCATGTTTTATTTGCAGAATTTTGTTCCCTGCTTATTCCAAACATCCTATATAATTTGGTTGAAATTTCAGGAATGTCGTCCGGGTTCTCATCCTTGGGGATCAATTTTGCCATTTGTGACCTTGTTTGTGAATGAACTCTCTAATACTCTCTTATTCTGGGTCAGTAATTCTAAAGTCACAAAAATGTTGTATCAGTCATATTTGGTTAGGCTGCATACAGCACGTTAACAAATAGGAGTTTAACAAAGCACAATTCTATTTTTCTTGAGCATAAAAATAAATCTGAAAGGAGGCTGACCAAGGCTGGTATTATGATGTGCTGGTCCTTACTGCCTTATGCTCCTTCTGTCATTCTGCCTGTTGCTAATATGTTGTCAAACACTCTAAAATGGCTTCCAGGCACCAGCCTTTACATCTGCATTCCAGCCAGAACGAATGAGGAAGAGGAATTTCTGACACTTCCTGCCAAGATTCATTAGCTAGAACTTTGACACACAGCCCTTGGAAAATGTATTCCTTACAGTAGATGACCACATGTGCAGCTAAAATTAAGCATCATGATTTGGGGAAACAAAGAGAAGAAATTTCAAAATAGATAATTGCAATCTTTGTCACCAATGTCAAATACACAGAGGTAATACCCAAGACTTCTATTTTCTTAAAATATTAAAGATACGCTTATTTCAAAGTTAAGATCAGAGTAAATTAGTGTATAAATAATGTAAATATTTAAACAATAAATAACATAGACCTACATATATTAAAAATAGGAATATAAAAATAAATTAGTGTGTAATACAGTGTGGCTGAAATGTATTCTTACTAATCTAATTACTATAGTTAAGGACTTAAATTTGAAGAAAATTCCTTGTTTTGTACTTGTTTTATTTTGAGTCTGAAATAATCCGAAGAGAATGCAAATGTAAAATAAAATGGGAGGCAGTGTTAGTAATGTGAGAGGTACGCTGAGTAGCAAAGGATCGTGGATCTGAGTCTGACTGGAGTCTTGACTTTGGCCCTGAAGCCATTTGCTTACCCAGCTCCTCAGAGCGGGGTTCATTGTCCATTAAATGGAAACACGCATTTGACCCTGAGAGTGTCTTGGATCACCAGGCTAAATCAAGTGGGCCTGGGCCAGTAACACACCCAGGCAACAGACCTTGGGGGCAGAAAGGCAGAAGGCCATGCAAAGCGAGACAGAATAGAAAACTTGAATGGGGTGGGGGGAGTTCCCCAACTGCCCAAGAGGCTCTGCACAGGACTCTGCTGACATTATTGCTGTTGCTAAACTTTCTTTTAAAGCAGAAAAAATTTCGAGTCAACCCCCTTTCCTTTCTAGCAAAGGTCATGGGTGTTAGTGTATGTGCGCTGGAAGTGCTAGCCTAGTGGATTCCCCAGAGAGTACCTTTATTACACTCCCAGCTCAGATTTAAATGATGGCAGGATTGGAGACTACTGCTCACTGGATTAAAACTGAACATATGACTTTGTGTTTCTTTCTGAAAGTTGATGATACTTTGAAGCTCCTATATCAAGACATCAAAGGTGGGTACGTAGTCTGGAATTTGGGAGTGAGGAAAGGCAGGATGTGATGACCAAGCACAACTGCCCCAGAAACCCACCAACCCCTCAGCCTATTTATGCCCCTAGAACCTGGACTGCAATGGACCGGCTGAGTGCGTGTCCCCAAAACATCCCAAGGGAACAGGAGTCCCAGGTCCACTCTGCTATCCCTGTCCTCTGGGTTTATGAGCTTAGTCTCTGCAATCTAATCCTGGTTCTGTCCCTTTCTCTGTATATATCACAAACAAGGACAGCAGAATGTAGGCATCATTTTATGAAAAGACAGCAATATCAACTTCAAAAGGGAAGTTCTGTTTAACATACTTCAGCTGTTCTTTATACCACTTTTGTGTATCTACTCACCAAATGTAGACGAAGCACCTGCTCCTTGCTGGTCTCGGATCTAAGATTAAAGATATAAAATGAATCAGCTGTGTCTCCCCACCCTCAGGCACTCATCGGACTAGAGAAGGGTCTGCAGGGACCAGTTGTAGTAAGCCAGCCACAGAATTTTGACCTCCTTGTCCAGAGAAGAATGACTGGAACATGGACGGCCAAGTAACAATGGTAAGGATGATTCAAAATGCTATTTAAAAGCTTCTGACATTTGGGTCCCACTTTCACTTACCACTTGCACAACTGCTCTCAGCCTTGTTGTCCCCATCTGTGAAATGGCATAATAACAGTCTAGAGTTTCCTTCATTGTTTGAAGTAGGGCAAGAACTCAATATTGGTTGGTCGTGTTTATTATTGTCATTGATAATATCATTGTTGATGTTGTTACTGACATAGTAAGGTACAGAAGGAAAGACCTGTAAATCCAGTGCACTGAAAGGAAAGATGTCGTGTTCCTGATAGCAGAGAAGCATCTCTTTAAGACTGTTTGACAGCATAGAAACGAGCTCCCCAAAAACAGTGAGAAAACTGGCCTGCAAAGATGGTGCCTTCACATCAGCAGAATAACACTGTAAAGAAAGACCATACAGATTTAAAAATCCTTTTTAGCTAAACGTTTCACAAGAAGTTCTGTACTGAGGTAAGAAGAGGAAGAATTTTCTGTGATATTCTCTGGTGCTGTTTTCTGAAGTTCCAACCCACTTGTTTTCTGGAGGGGGGGGTTGCATAAAACTTTGAGAAAGCCATAATCACACCTTTTCAATAGGGATGAATTTCTTAGTTTCCATATTAATCACACTGAGCTAGTGAACATTGCATCATGCACCTTGACTGCAAACAGTCCAAAAAGCAGTGCCAAAGAAAATAATTTCACTCTGAACCCAGTGGGGGGGAATTTCTGCCCTATAGGAAGGAATAGGAAAGGTCTATATTTATAGACAAGCCTATTCAACAACTTGATTTGTCCTAGATTGATGTGCTCCTTCTCATAAGGAAGTCAGCTCTTGCTCTCACAGCTTCTCAGATGGAATGGCTCTTTGTAATGTTAAAAGTATGAGTCAGTATTTTGCCCACAATAGCCACATTTCAGAACTAGCATGTACCTTCTAAGCAGCCAGAAATCAAATAGCCCAGCACCCAAACGTTCAACAGTTACCATCTTTGGAAGCTTAAGGCTTATTATCTCAGGAGTATGAAATAGGTATTTAAATACTTGGAGGTGCAAGAAGCTCTGGAAGTGTTTGTTCCCAGGACTCGGAGAGGTCGCTGCACTTCCCCCTCACCCACCCCAAACTCCCACCAACCACCTGTCCTGGCAAATTTCTGAATTTCAGATTCACAGAAAACTGGTTTTGACAAGAGCGTTGGAAGTGGTGGGATGCTGAGTCATCACCACAGTCCTGGTAGAACAACCTGGAGGCCAGAGCACTGGCTGTGTGGGGGTGGCGGGGTAGGGGTGCACACACCCTGAGCTACCTGCACTTGCAGTGACTCAGAGGCAGAGGAAAACGGTGGCTCGTCAGCTTGTTCTTAAAACATCTGAGTCTTCTGTGTACATAGTCAGACCTCAGACTACCATGGCCACCATTATTAACCACTGAACACATCCCCATTCTGATGCCGTCCCTACTAATGTAACTTGTCCTTTTTATCCTCCTGTCTTTCCTTTTCCTTCTTTGTTTGCTTTTCTTTCTTTCTTTCTTTCTTTCTTTCTTTCTTTCTTTCTTTCTTTCTTTCTTTCTTTTCTTCACTGTGTTTCCTTCCTTTCTATTTTCAAGTACTGGGGATTGAACCCAGGGCTTTCTCAATGAGCTACATTTTCAGCTCTTCCTAAAATTTTGAAACAGGGTCTTGCTAAGTCACTAAATTGCCCAGGCTTGGCTCAAACTTAGCATCTCCCTGCCTCAGCCTACCAGCACCTGTCTCTGTCTTTTCTTTATTGGGCAAGTGCCTTGCGTTAGTACAGAGGATGAAAATGCCTGCTTGGACATGGTTCCTGACCACGAGGTGATTATATTCTCCTGCCGGTGACAGATATTAGTAAAATTATCATGTCAATTTGTATAACACTACAACAGTGACAGAACACAGCAGAGGCAGATGTTGCTATGGAAACCTGGAAAGAAAGCATTGGCTGAGGATGGTGGACAACACTTCCCCAGAGCCTATGATGATCACCTGCAAACTGAAGCCTAATAACAGGAAGAAGGAAGGATGCTGTCAAGCTTAGCAAGGACCACTTTGGAGACTCCAGTCTGGAACACAGTGTGAGAACAAGGCACAGGGGGAAGAGAGTGATCCTAGATGAACTCGGAGAGGCAGGTGCCTGCCATGCGGGGCCCACCAGGAAGCCTGTTCTTTACATGAGAGCAATGGGAATCCATTGTTGTTAAGCAAAGCGGTGTCCTGATCAGAGTTACATTTGGAAATCATTGTTCTGGATCCAAGACAGAAAAGATTAAGAAGGAAAAGGTGGTGAGAAGAATACTAGCTGTGACATGTTCATTTCAGGGGGCTTTGGGGACTTCTTAAGCGCTCCGTGTATGGTTTTGATTGGCTTTTTGATTCTACATCCTTTCACTGAGCATTTACTAAGTACCAGATATTGCATTGGGCTTGTGAATAAAAGCAAACACAATCTCAGGCTGACGAAGGTTAACTTTAAAGAATGTTCCATTTATCCTAATTATATACTTGTAAAATTATTGGACCACAAAAGGGAAGAGTTGAATGGGTTTTCCAGATACAAGATCCCTTTCTGAAGAATGTGCTATGCTCAAAAGGAAAAGAAGACTTTAGGCAACTTAAATAGGGGAAGCAGAGATAAAATTCCGGGCAAGGACTGCAAATATGCCCCTTATGCGCTGTGTTCTCCTCCCAAAGCTGAACCTTGGCAAGTGGAAGGTAAGTGATGGTCCTCAAACTTCTGGGTTTGGCCCACAAGCCCCAAATGGATTTGTCAAATTCAAATCACCACTTCCTTAGGGTATATCCTTCTACCGGATAGGCTTTTAAACTATGTAATGTTTTACCAAAGGAGAGTGCACACTGTCCCCAAAGTTAGATGGTGCTATAAAACCTAGAAAATTAAACTCCAGTGCCTGTCCCAACCCTTCAGTGCGTAAGTTCTGCTCCCTGAAGCCACTTACTTAACATTTTGCAATTCTTTGGCCCTCATTTGCAGTATTTACCTTGACATTCATAAACAATATTTTGTTATTTCTTGGTTTTTCCTTTTTAATTATTTTATGACTTCCTATTCTGAGAAGTTTCTCTCTCACTCTCACTTCAGTTCCCCTCCCCTACACTTCCACTGAAGTCACATTATAATTTTATTTAAATCAGGAATTTATCATTTAATTTATTCTTACTGAAGCAAAATAATTTAAGGTCCAGCTGTACATATACGGCCTTTGCACTTCCTTCCTTATTTAACTTTTTGTATTTCCTAAGATTAATGATTGCATTGTAATTAAGCTGCTTAGTTTTCTATGAACCTACCACTACTTAATTCTACACAGCTCCAAAGAATCTTAAAATTTCTGTCCTGTTCTTCAAGTATGTCTGATAGTTTATGCAATTCATTTTCTCCTGAACACTCCTCTTGGGCACTCAATCTTCCTGACAGAGTCTGATGGTCCCTTGGCTGCCGCCCCCCACTGATATGCTGGCATCTCCATTCACCAGCATTTAGAGGGCTTCCATTTCCTCTCTCTTGGGTTCACCCCTATGATAGAATGGTTCTGGTTCTTAGATCTTCTTGTTGCTTGGTTTCCTTAGTTGCCTTGGGGGAGATCCTCCTCCAGAAGTTCCGTGGAAGGTAGCAGTTTTGAGACCTTGCCTGTGTGAAAAATATGCTTATATCATGTGTACATAAGTTTATAATGTAGCAATTCTCCTCCCATTCACCCCTCATTCTTCCTCACCATGACCACTAATCTTGATACATTGACTTCATTTGCTTAAGAAATGCCCAGCAGATTGGTAAAGCATGCTTTTGGGTATGTTTGGATGGGTCGTGGAGACATGGCCGTAGGTACTAGATATGGTCCTTTTCCCATTTCAGTCTGGCACTGTTAACCTGCTCTGATAAGGAGATTTGCTCTGCTGTCTTTCTTCTATGAAGTTCCTGCCTTGGAGTCTAATTACCATGGACTGGATCTCCTCAAACCGTGAGCTAAATTTAAGATGTGGGTGTTGTGCCTCTACCTCTGTGAACTGCACAGGGTAACTCCAGAAGTGCAAAGAGCCGTGGCACGTACATGCCAATTGAGTAGATAAACTTAATGAATTCATTCAGCAGAAGCCCACTTATAAATACATTACATTTTTCTTTATAGGACCTTCAACAATCCAAAGGTGTTGTTAAGCACTGGATCTCACAAGCTTAAGAGTGTTCATGGACCAACAATGTTGATGCAAAAATTGTTTTGCAAAAGGCAGATTTGGGGTGCAGAATGGCCAAGGACACAGATGCCATCCTAGCAACCCTCTTTCCTCACTGCCCTCTCCCCTTACTACGCGTTCACTCTTCTCCAGTTTTCATCTCTGAATCACCACTTTGTTTTAAATGACTCCAAAGCAGGTGTCCTGAATGAAGGTACCAAGAGGAAAAATGTCGGGGTAAATGAATGCGCAGATGGCCTTAGTATCCCCTGATACAATGGTGACGTTTCTTGGCAATGAAAAGCATGCTGACAAAATTGGAGTGGATGTCATTGCTCACTCTGTTGACAAGAACAACAAAAACGAGATCTCTATTGTGTATTTGTTTATGCCTTGGTCACGGGAATTCTAACCACTGCTTCCTTTGAAAGGCAGAAAATACCTTCTCTGCTTAGACTAATTGCTCATCAGCCCCCAGCATTTGTACTCATTGAACTTTTCTTTGGGGGAGGTGCAGAAATTTGAAACCTGATTTAGCTGACAGTATAGCCATCTCTTCCCTACTGGAACTAGCAATCTCAGGGGCACCGTTTGTCTGATCACCCCAACCTTGTGCTCAGAGGTAAGCCAGGGCCAGGGAGAAATAAGTGTGAGGCCCCTGCAGGACCACACACCCGCAGAGGGAAGCGTCAGGGACCGGCACTCAACTTAGACTTTTCTTTGAGTTATTAACTGTGTTGGTGGCTCCTTCCTGTTAAAAAAATTAATAGCAATAAAATAACATTTGGGTAGAAATGAATGAGTGTCACTTAGAGGTGCCATCAAAGAATCAAGGCTGTGACTAGACAATTTGATGAGCTGCATGCTGTCTGCGTGCAGTCAGTGTTTCCTCCTCGGATTTCCTCTGTCCCTTCAAGCGTGTGAGAGCAATCACGTGAGAATGACCTCATTACATCACTCTGGACCTCTGCAAATACTGTCCTTTCCCCCTGGCATCTCCCCAGTCCTTCCTCCCTCCTCAATAGGCCCTGGGGGGGGGGGGACACCAAGTTACTGGTTGTTTGTGTTTTGTTTTGTTTTGTTTTGTTTTGTTTTGTTTTGTTTTGTTTGTGACACTACAGATTGAACGCAGTGTTTTCGCACTGAGCTGGATCCCCAGGTGCCTAGGGTTAGGCTCAAACTCACAGTCCTCTATTTCAGCCTCCCAGAGTGTTGGGACTGTAGACTGCTTTCATTATTTTATTTTAAAAGCTCTTTGAGTTCCCCAAATCATGTGTCTCCACTCCTTTTCTCTCCCCTCTGCTGAACCCACCCCTCTAGGTTGCTAACCCTCTAGTAGACCACGGACGTCACACCAACACTACAGCTGTAGCAGTTGTGTGTGTGTTTGTTTGTTTGTTTGTTTAGATAAATCAAGTGCCAGATGTTTGGTGGATGGGACATCAAGAGCACGCTAAGTGCCTGCCGAAGCCGGCTCTAGAAACAATCTAACTCCAAGTGAAGGAGAGCTTGCAGTGGAGCCAGGCACAGAGCAAGAGGAGGCATGTGAACACTGCCACTGAGCAATTTCCCCAACCCTGATAACCAAGCTCATGGCTCCACTAGACGGCAGGCTGAAGACCCCTCAAGGGATGTTGCCCAGGTTACAATTCTTGTAAATGCTAAATAAATGACGACTGACGTGTATGTCGAGCTCTATCACCAAAACAAAATTGTTTGCACGCGTGTTTGCCAAGTGTGGCCTGTTCCTACACTTTTTTGCCTATTCAAATGTTGATTGCATGTTCTGCAATGGGTTTTCTTGTGTATGATTTATTTAACCTTTGCAATGAAAAGAAACTATAACTCAAGAGAAGACAAAAATGATGCCTGCCAGGATTACTCTCCTTAAACTGGTTTACTTCTTTTTAAGTCACAAAAGCACAAAGGACCCAGAGTCTCTCATAATGAACATAATATATGATTGCCATAAAAAGTTCACTCTCCTTTCAATTTCAATTTACCTCACTATAAATCAGTGATCCACTTAATCAAATATTCTTCCAGTTTAATTGTTTTATCTTGCTTTTATGTTAAATCTCACTGAGTTACTGCTGGCAGCAGTCTTCACATTATAGAAAAAATGTCAGTGGTTGGCCCATAATTAGTCTAAAACTCAAACATTGGTTCAGAACATTAACCAGATTGGGGGGAACCCTCACAATCTTACTGGACCAGTGAGACAAATCCAAGTTGGGAAGTAAACCAGGATTAGTTGAGCTGGCCATCCATCTGCTGTCAAACTAGAGTGAGGGCCCTGGCTTTCAAACTAACTAGAATTTTCTTTTTTTTTTTTTTTTCTTCATAAATGTCTTTCATTATTATCTTACAGGGCATTTAAAACTGTTTTTGCTTGTCTCTTAAATTCTCCAGGCTGAAACTGTCCGTTTAAGCATTGCAGATGCTTGCCTGAACTAGCCCGACGGTTCCCATGAGAAAATATGTCAGCACAGCGCTCAGTGGAAGGACAGAACGAAACTTCGGGGGCTGTGATGAAGGGCACTTCCTGGGTATTGTAAACGACGAGACACTGTCCCTGGTGGGTAAGCCGGTTCTGTAAACAAGAAAGAAAGAGAAATGAATCCCATGTTATCGATTGATAAACACCTTTCTGACAAGCTCTGTGGGACAGTGTGATGGAATAGGTGCTCTGAACACTGTCCCTGGAGCAGGGTCCCCAGACGTCTCTCACCTGAAGAGAACCCTTCACCATCAAACGAATACCTCATATACATTTTTTAATTAAACTTATAAAAATTTATTAAATAAATTGAGAATAAGGATATAGCCGAACCAGTCTATCTGCTTTTTCCAGTAAATGTAAATATTTCCCAAACAAAGAAGCTGACTTTGGAGTTTTATTTACTGGGGTGTTTTTTCTTAATTTCATAGGCAAGCAGTGAAAATCATCTCAGATATTTACAGGAGAACATAACTTTGTAAAATTATCCATATTTCAATACTGATTGACATCTCTTGACTTGTTTCATATGGCACATAAGCCTATTATACAACTTCAACTATCTGACACAAAATCACAGCATTTCCTAAACAATTTTTCCTAAAATCTGAAAAATTAAAATGTCTTAAAACTCAGCCAGGTAATATAAATTTTATTTTAGGCATAGATGCATGCATTAATCAAAATCAAAGGTACCTTAAAGATATTTTTTAAGTTTAAAAGCAACTATTGTTTAATCAATATCTGAGCTCTGAGAATTGTTCAGAGTATTCTTGAAGAATCACTAAAAACTTACTTAACACTGGACCTTACTTATGTAACTATCTGTAAAATATTGCGATATGTTATAGTGGTGATTGTTTTTATTTTCATACTTATCACATCAGGCATGTTTATAAAATAAGATGTATTCAACACATATAATTATCACAAGGGAGTGAATCTAGGAAAAAGACATGAAAAACATCCCATTAAAGGAAAAGCCTTTATATGGGACATTACTCACATTTCTGCAAATGGAATTTTCTGATTAACTGCCATATATTATATTATTTGAATAACTTTAGGAAAGATTAATTCCTAAGCTCTGTGCCCAGCAATATTTTTTCCTGGCTGAAATTGGGCTTTAAAACAAAACGTCAGCAATGCGAGGCTACGATTCAAGTTACAGGTTGAGAAACTTCGAGTACAAGGCAGTTAAAAGTGATTTAGGAAAGGCAAAATCGTTCTTTCACAAATGTGTATGTTCAACTTGTAAATTGATATATCAAAACCACAGCCGGAATATAGCAATTTGTCTCCCTTTGCTTGCAATGGTGTATTCTGCAGCTGCCTGCCAGATAATATACTGATTGTAACTTTCCTAATTTACAGAGCCTTTAAGGCTAATCTCCTGGGCCAGCCTAAAGGGCTTCTTCATCCATTGAAATGCCAGAATAATTGAAATTGTCTTCAGCAGACAGTCAGGCAATAATGAATATTTTCTGTGCTGATTGCATGCCAAGGTTACACATAGCACTGTGAACAGAAAGGATCCCAAACCAAGCCTCCCGAGGGAGGGGCAGCCACTAACCTTTGGCACGAAGTACAATACTCATGGCTTCTCCCGTTCACAGGCTACCGAAGCCACCCACGCCCACCAAGCTTTTCTGTACCCTGGGAGGCAGCCTGGTTGCCAGGTGAACAATGATCCCAGTGGCTTCCCCAAATCTCCAGAGGCAGACTCAAGGCTGGGAAAGGTTGGGGTATGGATTTTCCAATGGGGAAAGTGGAGAGATGGGCGGGAGGCTACTGTGAGGAGGAGGAGGAGGAAATACACAGCAGCTAATCAAAAGGCACACCAGGGCATTGATGGGCCCTGAGAAGACGCTTGCCTGTCTGCCCGACAACCTTTCCCATACCTCTGAGTGGCCCCTGTGAATGCTGGGAGTGGTGTCCTCATGGACACTCTCCCGCACTGCTTCACAGGAGTCCTAAGGATGTGCTGATTGAAATTAAAGCAATCGGTAGCCACAGTGAATCTGTAAACATTTTGGAAACAGCTAAAGACTGATTTAACCTTCAGCTATGAAAAAGTTTAAAAGGTAAAAGGTGAAGAAGTTTTGCACTGATCTTTAATTTCAGCAACTAATCTGAAATTATTGCTACTCCCATGGTTTGCTTTGGGGGAGGAAATCTGGAAAGAGGAACTCCCCTGGGACACCAGATTAGCAAAAAGTATAGATTAAAAGGAAGGCATTACAATTTACAAGGAAGAAAGAATGCTGGGCTATCTGCATCGCATTATCTGAAGTACTAACTATGTACCAAATATGTGCAGTGCCTGTTAGTTTTCTACGGCTGTTTAATCAATCACCCCAAAATTGAGCAACTTAAAACAGCCATGAATATTTATTATATCATACAATGTCTCAGGCCGGGAATTCAGGAGCAGCTGGCCGGTTCTGGCTCAGATTTGCTCTCCAGGTTTCAGCCAAGCTGTTACAGGCGTCCGAAGGTGGTCTGGGCCAGCAGGCTCCTCCTTCCGGGTGACCCCTGCCAGTTCTGCTGCTGCTTGTGAGCAGGAGGTCCCTGTCGTGCTGCGGGGGCCCCTGTCCAAGGCTGCTTAAAGGTCCTACTGGCACAGCAGGCACCTCTACCCAGAGCAAAGTGTCCAAGAGTGGAGCCATTGTATCTCTTATGCCCAGCCTCAGAAGTCACACACACTTCCGCCACAGGTCCCGGGGACACAAGTGGAAGGACCGCATAAGGACACCAACACGTCACCTTGGGGGCTTCCACAACATGTACGGATCCTCCGGTCTTCTAGGCTCAAAGAACCCACACCACTGCTCTAGTTTTACATCACAGTCTCTCCCATGTTCTCTGTCCTGGGTGGGGGTAGGGAAAGTCTACCTTTACATGTGTTTTTTCTTTCCCAGTTCTGACGCTCAGGGTAGTATTTCCACTATATCCACCCCTGCTAACCTCTAGTGTCCTGGCTGGCTTGCTCCCATACTGTGGTTCTTCTCTATACCACTTCGTCACCTGGGAAGTGTCTCCCATATAGCCCTAGCAGATTCCAAAGTACATATACATTTCATCAGTCCAAACAAACGAGGGAGGAAAGAAGGCAGGGAGGGAGGGACGGAGGGAGGGAGGGACGGAAGGAGGGAGGGATGGACAGATCACCTATACCTATTTAAAATACAATGAAAATAAGGAATTACTTGCACAAATGACAGCAAAGCTGAGAAACCAAGAATATGAGATAACTCCTCTATTCTTAGGTTGGGGAAAACAAGGAAAGGAACAATCTTTCCAAAGGGAGAGACCACCATTCCCAGCAGAAGCTGAAACCTAAATAGATGTGTCCGTGGGAGGGAGCAGGAACCCGGGAGACAAAGGAAGGAGCATACCCGTCTCGTCCTGCCAAGCTCCCCCCTGACTGGAAACTAGGGGCAGGGAGGGCAGTGGAGATCCACACCCCACGGTGGCTCCGAGCAGAGCAACGCAGACTACAGAGCAGTGCAGCTGAGCCCAACACATACGTTCATCTTGATTTAGACAGCGCTGTGCTGAATTTTTTCCCATAACATTCACATGAGTATTTTTGTGTTCTACATAATTACTGTAACTATTATTTTAAATTTCTGGGCATCTTCCTGTTACATATGAGTCCATGTGACTTAGTCATTTGCATAGACTTGCATCTTCAGGTTATTTCCATTTCTCTATTTTCAAGTGATAAATCAGCTAATGTCTTCATTATGTGGTTATTTTCTTCAAGAATAGATATATTCTTGGAGTAAATTCTCAGACATGATCATTGTTGGATCAAAGAACGTCAACATTTTGAGGCCAACTGCTACTAACATTCTGACCCCATTGCTGGGCTGCTCCTCCTCCTGCTAACGATACAGAATGAAGCCCAAAGTTACAGGCAGTTCAGGACTCGAGCTCACATTTCCAAGAAGAGGAGAAATCCTAGCCCATTTGTAAGGTCTGCATTTTGAAACTAAAGCAGCAGCAAGGGCAAAATCTTCCCTGAGAAGGGAGAGACCCCGGAGGAAGGCTGTGATTACCTCTGCAAAGAAGGGCTGACTTCTCTTGCATATGACTAGAATAATTTTTAGTTCAGTGTTTGTCTTAAAGAAAAATGAAACCTGGCCGTTCTCATTTGTGGGAAACAGTAGAGGGCCTGAAGCAAGCTTGAGGTGCAGAGCGCCTTTCAGCTGGCAGTGTCCCATTCTTGACTGCAGTGCTCCTCGGGTGTCTCAAAATATCCAGATCTGGGGGGCGGGCAATGTATCATCATGAAGTTTCTGTCACTCTCTTGTAAGACAATTACAGCACAATAGCCAAGGCCCAGGTATGTGAACAAAACAACCTTGAGAGATCTTCTGGACAGGGACTTTCAAAGTGTGGTCCACCACGACTTGTTGATCACTGGGGGTCACAAGGTAAGCCAAAACTTGAGCACAAATACCTAGAAACTTTCATTGTGCTTTGATATTATAGCAATACTTCTGTTGTCTTTTACATTGTCTGCAATGGACTGAAAAAAAGAAACAAATCCTTTCTTCGCAGAAGTATTGTTAGTCTACTAAAGCAATGTGGACAGAGATGCTGAATTTGCCTCTAACCACTGACTGTAGCTGCTTTATATGTATCAAGAATTCAAAGCAGTAGCCCAGCAATTGTGTCCAAAGTACAGTAGAGTAATAATTTACATCAATCAATATTTTACGCAAGTGAATTCTCTCTGCCTGAGATTGTTTATACACTAAGGTGGTAATGAATATAAATGTTGAATGATTTGGCTTTATCAGGAAAACTTATGCTCTTTAGAGAAACATGTGTTGCGGAATTGAGTGGTATAAAAGGGATAAAACTCTCTTTATTTGATCTGATCAGTTGCTCAGTAACATAGGTTAAGCACCAAGTCAGTCCAAGTAGGTCTTCACACCAGAGCACAAAAGCTGGCCAACCAGGCAGCTTTAATTGTTCAGAGACAATGATTACTAGTTTAGTGCAGAGTGGCCAGCTGTCTGGGGAGCCTGTGCTTAAAGATTTATATTGGTTCAGATTCTTTTCAGTCGAGAATACCAAGACTAGTATACACAACAAGTTAGCCGCAAAGAACCCACAAATACAAATCACTCCCAATGATGCTAATCTTTGCCTTAAATGGTGTTTCTTTTGTTCCTGCACTGGATAGGGAGGGATCTCAGGCACAGCTGTGAAAGGTGAAGTTGTCTTCCGGTCACACGTGGAAAGCAGTGTTCACAAGCTTACATCTTACCCTTGGCCCTCGGCACAATGTAGATAGCTGAAAGCACAGCCTGGGTTTTAAGGCAGGCTGACCTGGGTTTAAATTACAAG